GATGCCGAGGGGAGGCAGAACACCACGTCCACGCTCCCCTCAGAAGGCCGTGAGCAACCGTAACAAAGTAATGGCACGAGCAGTAAGGGCGATGAGGTACTTTTGGAAATTATCCTAAAGATCTTTTAGCAGTTTTTAGTCAAATTCCAGCCTTCGGGGGAGATTCCAAATGCCAAATTTAACAGCGGTGTATTCCCAGCGGTAACCGCACTGTTCCTATGCGCAACACTCCTACTCCTGTCCCTGAACTGAAACGAAAAGCAGCTGAAGTGAAATATGGAAAGTTTTCATCAATTTTCAATCAAAGTAAAACATATCCTCCTATGAACTAATTTCCTTTGATCAAAATTCAAGGAAATTATTCAACATAATGCACTTAAACTGCTGCTGTGAAAAATTAAAAGGAAAGGGAAGGCAAAGGGAAGCCAGGGCAAGGCGGATGTCGGACGGCATCGAGGGCTGTACCACCTGCATCCCAGGAGATCCGTTCTGGCTGAAGCTTATCCACTGAACTTTTAGCCCTGAGCAATCACCCCAGCCCTACGCCACAGACGTCCAAGCCACAAACACAGGCTCAGTGGGGAGCTGGCAGTTTGAGGGCAGACTCCCTACATTTCTGAGTTTTAGACGTATTTTTTTCTAGACCCTCAATCTCATTCCGCAGAAGATCATTAAACTGGCAGTGCTGCTATTGTCCATATGGATCATCCGGTAGCACTGGGTCAGGCCCAGGTCTGAATGACTCCAAGAACACAACGTCTCACCCATCATTTCCTTTAAAATAAAGTCTTTAGTTTAACGAGCTGTATCACCCCGCACCACGACAGTGGCTGTGCCGAGAAGCGCGTAGCTCAGTTAAAACCCCAATCACCCCCACCGTTACCTGGGCATCTCTGTAACTAAAAATAATTCCTTGAATCGCCATATGATCAGAAACAGGAATTTCTGGAAAAATATGATGATATTTTAAATGGTGGGCAGTACCTCGTAAAAGGAAAAGAGGAGTGAATCTGCCAGCCCCCAGAAAATAACAGAGGTCAAACAAGATGCTACTGAAGGTCAGGAGCCTCAGTCGCAAATGCGGTCAGGGTGTTTTCTGGGCTACTGAGTTGAGGCTGCAAAAGTTTATTTAACCCCAACTTCTTAAGGAACATTAGTGCAAACAAAAATCTGATCGACAGTTTTGTGCTACCTGAAATGAAAACATCTCGCCCTGTGCTAATACTTTCCTACAGGTGCATTTCCCCCAAAAGTTAAACTCAAACCCACAGGGTTAGCGTACGACCACAGGCAGATGGTGCTTTGACATCGTAGGTGGCCAATTTGTTATTTGCAGGTGGGTGACAAGGCTTAAGTTGTGGAAATATTCTGCATCTAAACCAAACCAACAGAAGACCCCCAAGCAACCCTGCACACAAGCAGAAGTACTTCTGGCTCCCATGGAAAATATTGATTTTCCTGCTGGCTGGACAGCCAGAAAAAGGAATAAATAGAAGAATGTATTTTTTGACTCCTTCCATCTACTTCGCTTGTCCTTGCAAGGCTGATGCTGCTGTTCCATTTTCTCTACAACCTACAAAAATTCAATTTATTTTTTCAATCTGTCTCCAGCCAAGCTTCCTTACATCAGCTGTGCAGTCATTCCACTGCGGCCCGCGTCCGGCAGCACGAGCAGGGTGAGGGGAATGAAGTTACCTGTGCATTTGCGGTCCGTGTCTTCCTTCTTTGACCCGCTGATGGTTAACTTGCAGTTGAAGTTCTCCTCCCAGTACTCCGCAAACCACACGTTCCGTCTGTTGTTCTCCAGGGTGCGGGAGGTAAAGTAGGCATCGAACCCTGGAGGGGGAGACAGGTAGAAAGGTGAAGTGGAGCTCATGGGAAGTACTGCAGCCTGAAAACCCCTCTGTTTGTGTCTTCTTCAATACCCAGCACACGTTCACACCTCTGTCCACAGGAGATGACCGTGGAAAGGAAGGAAATCCATCACATGCTTTATCTAATCAGCTGCATCTTGCGAGTAAATTACTCTGCTACTAAGTGCAAGGTGTAAAGCGAGGTAAGATATATGTAAAAAGGAGATTAATATATAAAAAAAAGAGTTATAAGCAAAAAGCATGGATTAGATATATGCCGATAAGGAATGAAAATAGATGATAAGGTGCAGCTGATGTTAGGCTGAGCTCCATACAACTAATTTTGTAATTAACCTCTCCAGACCTCCAGCGAAGGCAGTTTGGGACTAAACCGGCCGTTATCAGTGGACCGGACTCCTTTCATAGCACACGTTTCTCCCTTAATTTCCTCTCACAAAGGTACAGATTAGCTCCCAGAGCACAACTTCTAGGGGTGGCGGATGCACTGCGACCGGGCAGACCCTGGCCTTGGGCACCCTGAAGTGGGGGGAGGTTTCCTTCCTCAGACCTGGGAGGTTCAGTTCGTTACAGAAGCCACGCAGCCACAACCAGCTTGTAGTGCTGCCAGAATAAAAATGACATTAAATAGTGGGGGAAAAGGATAATTTTTTTAACAGCTAAGTTGAAATCCAGTAAAGACACGCGAAGCCCCCGAGACTTCTTTTTCTCAGAACACCCAGTCCCCTGCATCCACGGAGGGAAAGCGCGTAAGAGCTACGGAATCGGTGCACAGCAGTGGCGAGGGCAGGGTTTTCACAGGGCTCTGAACCCCGTCGGATCTCTGTGGCACCTCACCGACTCGCCAGAAGAGAAACATATCTTGCTTTGGCTTGCTTCAGTTTTTTGTGGAAATGTATATCCCTGTATACGTGTATGTATATACATGCGTGTATATATAGATACATATGTGTGTACGTATAGCAATTAAAGAAAAGGCGTACCTAAGGGCTTACAAACCAGGAGGGCAAAGGAAAAGAATGAAAATCTTATGACCAAATTATACAATTTATCAAATTCTGATAACAAATGATATAATTTCCCAAATTCTGATCACAAATTAGACCTGCCACAGCGCAGGGATTTTTTCTATCAAGTTTTCAAATTCCATAGTTCGGAACTGAGCCAAATATCCTTCAGCAGCTCGGACAAGAGCCCTTCAAAGATCATGCTCGTTGTGATGGATTTTTCTCAGAATACAATACAGAATCTCTGAAACAAACACGTACATTCCCAACAAGCAATGGTGACTTCTGACCAAAAGGATCGCCCCACTGCCGACTGCCCTGCGCACACTTTGCTGTACCAAAGCGCTCTTCTCGCCGTTATTCTCTTTCAAAGCGGAGAGAATTCCTTAGAGCCTACGGAAACCGTTGTGCACACAAATAACCGCAAATCAGTAGACAGAGATCCCAAGTACGAGGGCAGGAGCCTGACCTGCGTCACTGCAGTGGCCAAAGCTCCCATGAGAGCTCGGCATGGAACAGACTCGAGCCAGCACCCGGCCCGGCAGGCGGAAAGCTGCTCCCGACAGACACCGGGGGGTCCTCGGGAGCAGGGACGAGCAGAGGTCACCTCCTTCCCACAACAGTGTTTGTGTCTTGTTACTATCCCAGCACACTTTTGGTTTTGCTTGGCAAACAAAAGATTTGCATGAGGACAAATATATTCCTGCATGTCTACGCGCTCGTGCATGACGCCTTTTGTCTTTTTTTCTTGTCTTTTTTGTCTTTTTGCAGCCGACCAAGGCCGTATTCCCTCATCCATTCAGAAGGAAGATTACACAGAGTGACACAGCCAAGTATTCTTGGCATGGAACACAGAAAAGGTTTATCACCTCCGCACCAGAGGCGCCAGAAAACCAGGCAGTCGTCGTTCCCCCCTCCAGCCAGGTTACAGACTCCTGGCAGCTGAAACCCCTGCTCAGTTTTACAGGCTTTCCCAAATCCGATGATGCCTGTGAAGGAAGGGGCTGTGCCCATGCTCTGCAGAGTTATATCAGTCTTACAGGCAGCATATTCCAATAGCAGGATGCTCACCACCGTTACTAGTGCTGAGTAGTTTTCCTAAGCCTTTCTAGTTGCCCATCTTTAGCCTGTAACGAGCCACGTCGGAGCTTTTGCTTACAGAGACAGCCTAGAGTTGGTATTTTTCATGTAACCTTTCAGAACTGCAATCCCCATTCAAGTTCAGGTTACAAAAGAGTTTTTCCTCTTACTAGGAAGGTTGTTGAGTTCTTTGAACTATGCAAATCTGAAACCTGGATAAAGCAGATCAATCCAAAAGAGGACTTGAAAAATGCTGCTGCGCACTGAGAGGCTCGGGAGGAAATTATCTGGCATCCAGAAAGTGCAAATCCATTCAATCACAGCATTGTCTAGGTTGGAAAAGACCTCCAAGCATGAAGCACAGAAGCAGCAAGCCCTTAAGAGATGCTAACCCATCTCTCTATTGCATGATCACATGGTTCCTCTTGATTTTGCAGTTAGGCATTACAGTAAATACATATTCCATTGAAAGATAGAAAAAAGTTCCTTGCACCACAGCCAACAATTTCCCTCACTGAAATAGGTGGGTAAATTGACTCAATCTGGCACTCCACACGACAAAATTGAGTCAGAGGAAAACCATATGGCATCGTTAAATTAGCATAGCAATCCATCCACTATGGGATAAAAATAGACAGCATGTAACCAGATGTTTCCAAATAAGAAAGAAGATTAGGAGTGGGGTCAATCTGTCTCCTCGTATTAGCTTTGGGTCCTGTTGACCCAGCTATAATATCTATTTTCCTAATTCTGAGTCTACTGTTCATGACTCGCATCCAAAGCCCACTGCTTCCTAAGACACAACGGACATCATCTCCAAAAATCAGAAAAATAAGTATTGGGGTCTTCCAGAAACAGCCTGAAAGCAAATTAAATTTTTACCTAGAGCTTCACTAGAAAATACATGTGAGTCTCTCCTGCAACAAATACGTCAGGAGGCTTCAGAGTGATGGCAACCCCTAAGCAAGAAGCCATGCCAACGTAACGCAGTGCCGGCGAGCTGGAAGCCAGCACCCAAAGGACGGCAGTCAAATCATGGAAACCTGCAAGCAAACCTCTGAGGTGGGATGGGGGAACACCTCAGTGCTGTACATAAGCACTGCTGAATATTTCAGTCAAATCCATACACCCAGTACGCCTCGTCCAGCCCTTCACGTGGTTTTTGCAGCTCAGAATGAAAACTTTCCAGAATAAAACTGCACAAAGCTGCAGGAAAAGAGCGATGGCAGAGACCCCCAACCCCCTCCTGCTGCATTTATGCCAAGGCATAACCTGGGCTTCCCCTTTTTTAGGGAAATAATTTAATAAATTTCATTTCATAAAAAAATCATTTAATAAATCATTTAATAAAAATAATTTAATAAATTTCCCATTTTTTAGGGAAATCATTTAATAACACTCCTGCCCCAGCTGTTGTGCTTAATTAATGACACATTAGTGACTTATGAACGTTTCTGGGCACAGTGTCTAGAACAGGACAGCACCATCTCGAAACTTCTGAGCTGAAATCTCCCAAGGAAAATATTCATATATATGGGTCAGGTGAAAATTTGGAAAACACCAAGCTAAATTGAAGCTAAAGCTGTTTCCCTGTAAACCCACATGCATTACTTTTCCTCCTAATTAAAAGAGCATTTCAAAGGGAATATTCAGTCAAAAGATCTGCAGTATATATGTGGCTCAGAAAGAGAAACAGTGCACCTTACCGACGTGCCAAGCTAACTGACCCCTGGGAGAAGTGCTCTATAACTTAATAAGATAAAATCAATAAGTCTTGATAAAACTGTAATAGAATTCCATAAGAATGACTCTAAACCTTTACAGATTTAATAACAAATAATAACATTCCCATTGATTTTTTTAATGATCCCTCTGCATTCTCAAGAAGGACTATAGATCCCTAATAAAGAGTGCACATTTTTTATCATTATTTTCTATTGATCAAGAGGAGCAGGCAAGTGACTGGCAGAGGGATGGAGTTAAGTAGCAGGCCAAATTTCTATTCATCCCTTCCTGGGTGGAAGGATCGTGCTCCCACTGCTGTTTCTGGCTGCACTGCAGATCACAGCACGACTGCTCCCACAGAACCAAAATCCTGGAGAAGACCTCCAGGTCTACCTCCCCCGGAAGGCATCACCTTTGGGAATTCCCTACGTTCTTAGGGTGAAAAGAAGTCCCCCATAGCCAGGACCGAGCAAGTGGAAGGGGTCCCCCATTGCTCCATAGGCGCAAGGCCAGGAGTGTGCTCATAGGCCCCATTCTTTAGTTGATAAATATTTACAATTTTACCCAAGGCGCTGGCACAGGCACGCACCTGGGGTGCGATAACCAGAGGAGGAAACCTAGGGTGTTTCATACCGCCCGGTGTAAGCCTCTGCACCTCCACCGAGTTAACGGAACCGTGCCTGTTCACAGGAGATGGGGTTTTCATGCAGTGCAAGGATTAGTGGAGAACGCTCAGTGGAATCTCACTGCTCCTAAAATAGGTTTTTTTTTTGTTTTTTCCCCTATATCATTCCCAAGAACACCGTCAGAGACATGATGATGCTTGTCTGAAATACACACCACGCTTGCCGCTCTGAGATTTGAGCCAACAAATCGCCACTGCTTCTTCCCCCCCCCTCTTATTTTCACAAGGTAATTGTGCTAGATGTACTTAAAAAAAAAAAAAAGAAACCTATAGGAAAATGTATTTTTTCATTAAGAGAAAATAGGGTCAGTTTAAAGACCTTACTATTGTTAAACTTGACATTAGCTGCATGGCTAAGAAGTAAAGCAAAGCCCAAATATTCAATTTTCAGCAAAAGCCGATCGCTTGCCAGCATGGCAACACTGCTGCCACGCCACCAACCTCGTCAGCGGACGGTGGGAAGTCCCA